GTGCGCTGATTTGCTTCAGGCCATAGCGGCACTAAGGGTTAGCGACGCTAGGAGTGATGTGGCACGCTGTCGTGGCACGGTTCCGACGTGGAGAGTCCCTGCCATGTTAGCGGCGCTTTGCAGCTTAGCGGCGCTAGGGAGTGATGTTAGCGGCGCTTCAATTCTAAGGCATCTATTTGCAGCCCATCGTTAACCCCTCGCTACGTGCATAGCGGTGCTATGAGCGAGAAGATAGCGGCGCTATCCCAGGTTAGCGGCGCTAGTACCTGGGTGCCAGTTTTCCTTTTTACCACACTTCACACTCGCTAAAGGTCTAACGACGCTACCCAGCCGCACCGTAGCGGCGCTACGCACATAGCGGCACTACTACCTGGAATCCCCAAAAATTTTCCTAACTTTCTCCAATTCAACACAACTTCCCGATTGGTCGGCCACCCTTCAACCTCAACTCTCAAATACCAAACCTCAAGGTCTGAGACTCCGCCCTCAAATTCAGCAAGTACATTAGGATATAAAGCAAAGATAGTGCGATACACGTGAGTTTTTACCTTCCGGACCACAAGACATGGGGGTTGGTATTCATTTTCAAATACCAACCGGTTCCTTGCATTCCAAATGAATTAAACGGTGGCCGCAAGCGCCGCTTTCTTAAACTTGGACCTTCACCCCGCACCTTTCGCCTCCTTCTTGGTCCATTTGAGGGCGCCTTTAAGGGTTGATGACCTATGCCGAAGGCTAACCCAAACACATATCTCATCCCAAATTTCCGAGCCAAAGGAGCACTTGAATAAGAGGTGGCTCGAAGATTCGTTGGCTACCCCGCATAGAGGGCATATCGGGTCTTCATCAAGGAATTCAAGACGGTCTTTAGTCCGGAGTCGATTAAGCACGCCGAGCCATAGAATGAAGGAGTGCCTAGGGGTATTCCAAGCCCCCCAAACAACACCACTCCATGGCCTCATGGGTCCTCTAGGTCGTAGGAAGTCGTAGCATTTACTAGACCCATGTCTATCTCGGGAGTTCCAATCTCGAAGAAGGGCTTCCGCTCCTCGTTCACTTCCCGCTCTCTCAACCAAGCTTTGTCGGATGTCTATGAGGGACTTGAAGAGAGGTGAGTCATTCGGTCTAACTTCCCAATCCCAAAGTTAGTTCGGACTTTGGCTTGTGCGCTAGTTCGGACGGCTGTGTGTTTTGCAGGATAGGTGTAGGGGAGGTCTTATTGTAAGTGTATTTTTTTAGGTGTGTGTGGTTTTTTCTTATTTTTCTGTTTTTGTTGTTTAGTTAGTCTAGCTTCGTCTGATTTTCAGCCTTTTATATGGAGTTATTGAGTCTCCTTTATGGAGTTTTTGTTTAGCGGGTGATTGTACCCCTTGATCATATGTGTAATTTCAAGAGGGGTTGGTCCAAATTTGTACTGATTCCAGTAGTGTCATTTGACATTTCGAGAGTGGAGTTTACTCTTTTGAATTTTCAGTTATTAATATATTTGACGTTTGAAGGAAAAAAAAAAAAGAAAAAAAAAGCAAGCCTAACCGTTAAAAATTGTGATTTGGGCTTTGCTTTTCTGTTGGTCAACGAATTTTATTATTAGTTGAAGACAAAGCCGTAAAGCCAAGATCTTTTCATTGTACTGCCTTAAAACTTTGCCACGTACCCCAAAACTGCACATGCCCAAAACCTCAATTATTATCCCTTCACCTTTATTATTATGTTCATTGACACACACTGTGCTAAAACAAGAAGATATTTTTATCCCCAACAAACCTTTTATATGTAATGTATGCCTACTTATTTATTACCACACAGCTACTTATTTATTACCACATAAATTAAAAACAGGCACCAATAGAGAGAGAGAAGAAAAATCAAGAACAAAAGAGATGGATGTGACTGCCCATTTTGCTTCTTCTTATTCTAAGACCAATTCCATGTCCAATGGCACATTTTCACCAGCTAAATCAGCTCTTTTGGCCCATAAAAATGTGAACTTTGTGGGATACAATTGCCTGCCCAGAAAATTGAAGTGTTTTGGGGGTCAGTTGAGGAATTTTGGTGCTGCCATTGATATTGTTTCTGATTATGAAAGCTCTTCAGCTGATGATGGGTCTATCAGATGGCTTCTTCAACCCATAGGTATTGAGACAATTTTTATACATAATGTGTGTGTGTGTGTGTGTGTGTGTGTGTGTGTTTGTTTGTTTGTTTGTGTGTGTGTGTGTGTGTGTGTGTGTGTGTGTTTGTTAAGAATGTTTGTTGTCCTCTTCAGATTTGAAACATTCCATTTGATGTGATTTTGATGAATAAAAATGTGAGTGTACTGCATATGGATTTTAGCAGTTAGAAAGAACAATGTGACAGTTGAGTGAAGAATGTGAGGATTCTTTAGCTAACAATAATCACTACGTTTTAACAGTTTATAAGCACTCGGTATCGCAATTTTCATGCCGAAACTGTTATTTATTACTCGATTGTAGGTAACTTTTCGTTGAAGCCACCGGTTAACTATTTCGAGTTATAATTAGCCCTGCATTGTAAGAGCAGCAGTGTTGTGATTGAATAGCCATTGTAACAGTTTATAAACACTCTGGAATGTGAGTACATTACATAAATGTTTCTTTGTTTTTCAATTCGCTGCTCGCTAGGTGATGGTGACTCGAGGCACATAGGTTATAAGGTCGAGATGCCCGGGCCAATTGAAATTCTTTCCGTGAGTCGTGTTTTCGCGTGTTCTATTCTTATATATATATAACTATTGTTTTAAGCATAAGCTCGTATTTTTAACCCGTGTGTTCTCTTACATGTTGTTGTTGTTGTTGTTGTTGTTTTCTTACATGTCTTAGAATGTGGTCATTGTCGGGCGTGATCGTGAGAAAGCCGATATAGTTATTCCAGTGCCGACAGGTAGATCTTCTTACATTGTTCTTGCACACTATACGAGTTTTGTTAGCTGTTTGAGATGAAATGTACTTTTAATGTGTATCGAGTAGAACAAACAAGAGAGGTCGAAATAAATATGAAATGCTAATAAACTTGTTTTGTTTGCTTAAAACTCTGTAGTCTCTGCTCTGCACGCTCGGATTGAAAGGACAGATGAGAATCTGTTGATTACCGATTTCAACAGCACAAACGGTACATTCATCAACGAGAGAAGGCTCCAACAGGGTCTTGTTGTCTCGGCATTACCTGGAAGCCTCGTCACATTTGGTAAGAATTGTCGACTATTTATGTTTTGACTGCTTACATTTTCATTATATAGTTCTTTTAGTTTTCTAAAGTGTGCCGATTTGTACTGATTTTCATCCAGGGGACGCTAATCTAGCGATATTCAAAGTATATAAGGTCGAGCAAGACAATCAGTGTGCTACTGAACCCGAGACATTTGAAACTTAACCCGAGACAATCATTTTTTTAGTAATTTATTTCGGCTATTATTATTAGCGTCTTTCGAATTCGAGCTTTCGAACAAGATGCTCGTCGATTTTTGTTAGAACTTCCAGGTGAACAGGAAGGGATTTCATGTTCTTGATGGTAGTGAATTTTGAGAGTGTGACTGGAAGTTGTTTTTTATATGGAAAATTTAGAAGAACAACTATGTGCTTTTCACTTTTTAGATTTAGGGGAGATCATATAAAATTCAAATTCATAGTGAAAACTTAAATAAACTGAAATGAGTACTCTGTCATGGCTTATTGCTAGAGAACAAAAAACATGACAAAATTTAAACACAAATAAATCAAACTCAAAATTTAAATACAAATAAAGATATCATGAATATATGAGTTTTAAATTAAAAGAAATAATGTGATAATAAAAAGGGCTGCTAATCCATGGAGAGACTGAAAGCTACAGCATAAACTGGTTGGGCTTCCATTTTCTCCATCTCCAAGAAATGGGCCTGCAGCTACTGGCCCACCACCTACAACATTTGATTAACAAGTTTCTAATAAGTACATTTAATGTGAGAAAATTACACCCTGTACACTTGATTATGAAAATATTATCAAATGTACGAGAACAAACATTATTCATCACAATTACGTACTAAGTATTAATTAATTAGATAATTTCATTTAATTATGGCCTTTGAGTCGGTTTTTAAAAACAACCAATAAATGCAATCAATTAAAATATTGCATGATATTTGGGAATCGTATCAATCCACACCATCTACACTTAACTGAAAAAAAAATATAAAAATCTCGCATTCTCTCTCTTGATCTCGGTCACAGTGTAAACTCCATCTACCACCAATAAACAATTACATCTCTCCATTATCTCTCCAAGAACTTCATCTCGGCATTATCTATCACAGAAAATTTTTTAGTCATCTTCACCAAAGAAATCAGCCATTTTCTCCCAAAGAACTTCATCTATTAAAAAAAAAAAACTTCGTCTATCACCAAAAACATTCATATCGATTACACAAAACAACCGAACTAATCTCCGCGGTTAATTGAAGAATGGAAGAGCGAGAAAAAAAATGATGTCAACTCCTCCAAAAGTGAAGATGAAGCAAGGATAACTCGCTCTCGATCTCGTCACACATCTCAAGTTCAACCTTCCACGCGCAAGGTTACACAAAAAAAGCTCCAATTTCATAAAATGGAGGCCCGAGCTGTGCCAAAAATCTAATCCGGAGACCGCCGAGCGTTGGCCAGACGATGGCGATGATTTTGTTTCCGAACATAAAATTCAGACAAAAGAAAATAGTTGATCTACCACACCAAGAAGAAGAAGGCTCGAGAAAACAAGGGCAAAGAGAAAATTGTTGACTCTCCAAACAATTAACAAGGGTCTGATTCATTTTTCAAAATTGGTGAGGAGGAAGAATCAAATTCGAGTGAAGCATAATTTTTACAATTTATGACAAAGATTTGAATTGCAGTCTAACCACGAGCAAGTTATTCTCCAATCAGGTGTGATTGGGTGTATATGAATCCTAGCCAAGCATCATATTGATGTGATTGTTTCTTTTTACCTCGCCTTAGATAGAAACCTTAATCATGTAGTCGATACTTTTGTAACCTCAATTCGAACAACTTAATGTAGTTCTAGTAATGTCCTGGAAGGAAAATAAAGGGAAACAATTAAAGTTGTAGTGTGCATTGGTGAAACGCGTGTAGAATTTTGTTATCATGTTTCTACAGAAATGTTATCATGTTACCAGAAATGTGTTTTTCAACTGTTATCATGTCTTTACAGAAATGTTTATATGTTGTTTATATAATTTGAATATATACATTATATTTAATGTGAGGAAATAATTAGCAAATTTGTGTACCTAACACACATATTCACCACATACTGTGTGTGTATTATATATGTTATTTTTTTAATTGTCATTGTACTTTTGGCGAAATGAGTGTACATTTTTTGTTATCATGTTATAAGCATATGACAAGTCAGAAATGTTTAGTTGTTGTCTATGTTACGTATATATACATTTGATTTAATATGAGGAAATATAGCAAATTTGTTTACCTAACACACATATACAACACATATTGTGTTTGTAATATATATGTTCTGTTTTTGAATTGTTATTGTACTTTTGGTGAAATGAGTATACATTTTTTTGTTACGATGTTATAAGCATATAGCAAGTCAGAAATGTTTATTTGTTGTTTATCTTATGTATATATATACATTCTATTTGTTCTTAGGAAGTCATAACACGAACTTCATCAAATTTGATTACATAACATATATATTTACCATATATATACTATTACTGTGTGTAATAAATGTTTTGTCAATTGGCCAATATTAGAAACATATTTTTGATTGTGCAACAACTCGATAAATAATATATAAACATATATGTAGAACTTATATAGGAATGTATATTACACCTACCGTTTATTGTGGATAGATATATCCATAAGATAAACAATATATAAACATATTTTTTATTAGTACACATACTGTTTATTGTATATATTTATATATATATATTTATATATACATAAGATAAACAATATATAAACATATACTTATAGTGTAAAACTTATATAGTAATGTATATTGCACCTACCGTTTATTGTACATATATATACACATAAGATAAACAATATATAAATATATTTTTTATTAGCACACATGCGTTTATTGTACATATATGAAGAGCCTTGTGAAGAGGATCATCCAATTGGTTCCGCCGGTCACTTCTCAGGCCATGGAGAGTGTAGATCGGAACGACGCCGTCGATATCCGCCGCAAGTCCCTACGGCCGCCGGATGAGGTGAAGAGGGTCATCCAATCGCTTTCGATGGTTTATTTTTTGGTCGTGGAGAGTATTCCCATAGATCAGAACTACGCCGTCGGGTTCGCTGGCAAACGACAAACTCGAATAACTAAGTAGACTAATTTTCGTTACTTGCGGTAAATTTGTTGCGACTTGCGAAAGATCTGTGATTTGTGAAGAATTTTTCTGATAAGCATTTTTTTTTTTGAAGTGGATTTAATTGATCATGTCTTAGTTAGGGCATTAATTAATATTATTTCGTTCCTTCAGTTTAATTTTTTTTTCCTATGCGTGATTTTCTCCTTCTATAGATGACTTTTAATATATGGAGAGATAAAACCATATCTTATGATTATCAGAATCTCGTATAAATGAAAAAAGATTAATAATTAATCCTTTTTTGATTATGTTTCCTACTAATTGTATTTATGTAAATAAATCTACAATAGGGTCTATGTGTGTATTTTTCCCTTTAATGTTGTCGTTTTTATTGGGTTTTTTTTTTACAATTGTATTACACATACTCACGCACGTATTCAGATGTATGTGTCGATCCAACGGTAAAAAACTCGGTGAAGACAATCGATTTTTCGGTAGATTCTCGTGTAGCATATAGAAATAAATAAGAGAGGATAATTAGTGGTCTAATTTTAGAACATACCATCTGCTGAAGGGGCTTCACTTGGTGCAAGAGCTCCTACAGGAACACCAACAGCTGCATTGTTTTTTATTTTTTTTTTAAATATATAAAAGTCACTCTGTCAGAATAATTAAACAATTTCACATGTATGCCCATTAAATTGTTTATCATCATTATCTGTGTTTAAGAGATCAATTAAAGTAAAATCAATAGCTACACTTAACCATATTCATAATCGTAAAGAATGTTCTAACCAATATTATTCAACCATATTTTTTTTCTCGAAAAATTATAATTTCATATTTTTTATTCGTATTATAATTTTAAAGTATGACATTTGATGGTGTATGTGCTTTTTGTTGGAAAAGTATGACTGATTAACCGTCAGACAACCTAATAACAGAAGACTTCTATTCGTAAATTGGCTTTATATTGACTTTTTAAAACAAATGTATCAGACAAGTTGTTTGTAAAGTGTTTGTAAATTGGCTTTATATTTCACCATGCGCATGTCACGACATGGTTGGTAGTCTTCTAGGGTTTGTGAGGTAGGTTTTGTATATAACATGTGGTGCAGCCTTAATCAGTTTATGTTAATGTCTTCTTCATGCATTAAAACCACCTCGAGCTCCTTTCAATGGCTGCAAACATGCTATTTCGATCATGGTATCAGGCCGCGATGGTCCTCGCCCCTCAACGGTGCGAAACCTCGCGGCGCGCCTGTGCATCGCACCACAACATCCCTTTATTATTTCGTTCCGTCGCGCCACGACACTCGTGATTTTTAAAAGTTGAAGTTGAACGAGATTTTGACCAGGTTTTTGGACCCTTTTATTGGAAATCGTGCTGAGGGTTTTTGGCTCATTCCAAACTTTTGTATTTTGAAACTCTCTCATTCCATACATTATTCTCTCTAGTTTTGACTTAGACACGATCTTGGAGAGTGCAACTCCAACATTCATCTTTCGGGTTCGGATCGCACTTAGGATTCAACATTTAATTTTGCATTAATAGTAAGCACTTCTTTTCATTTCATTTATGAATGAGATTATTTTGTTTGATGTGAATTTTGGTGTTGAATTCGTGATGAGTAGCTAAATTTGTTTGTTAGGGACTTCAATTATGATTATGTGTTTGTTAATTGTTCAATCAATACGAGTCGTGTTAACCCTAGGGTTAAATTATTGGTTACCATTCTAATCTAATTAGTCAACTTTTAAAACTAAAAGGGGAGAAATTGGCCGATCTAGGCTCGTTTAGAATAGGCTTGTTCGTAAATGTATTGCCTATGTGTTAATTATTTTGATAACGGAAAGTTATTAAGAATAAATCTCTAGACGAGTAGGTTATTCGAGTCCTTTAACTGAACACTTGTTTGCGTGGTAATTTTGTATGGAACCAGAAATGATTATCTCGGACCCCTTAGTTTCTTAGCATTATCTAAATTTTGTTTGGGAGGTTGATTATTGAACTTTGCATCATTTTGGAATCAGTAGTTTGTTGGAGAAAAGTGAAGGGCGGTGCCACATGCAGCCGCCCCACTTATTAATAAAAAAAAATATATTAATTATTGCAATTTGTGGGAAGGAGCGTACGAAGGTGTCCTATTGGCCAACTTGTTCATATCAATCTCTCCCTATAAATATAGCTTTCGGCAGAAGGAAAAAACATAGAAAAAGAAGGGAGAAAGAGAAGAAAAGAGGAGAAAGAGGGAGAGAAAAGAAAGAATATTCAGTCCATAAGAATATTTGAGGATAAAAATATTAGTGATAAAAATCAAGAAAATTATCAGAGCGATATTTTTATTCCTATTTTTAAGTGCTCAATTCTCGATTCCGTTCCCGTTCGTCGGAGCTCGTAAATCTGTTGTGCTACAGATTTAGAGACGTTTGTCGTTGTATCTTTGGGGAAGTTACGCCGGAACCGTTAGCAACACACGGGGCGTATTCTTCTTGCGGAAAGAGTTTACTCGCCTCGGCTAAAATCTTTCTGTTATTCAGTTGTAATTTATTTTTCAATTCAATTGTAATTTTCTATTATTTTAGATGATTTGTAAGAACTGAAAAATACACTTCAGTTCGTAGGATTCTCGTGTATTTTGACACCCAGTTGATGTAACAATCGCAAGAAGAAGTTAACAATCAACCATCAACCTACTGAACTGATGGCATACAACGGAGAAGGTTCTCAACATCAGCATCCAGTCAATCATGTACCTGTTGTCCATGTCCTACTGCTGAGAAGCCCGAAAAATTCAATGAGTTTGATTTTAAGAGGTGACAACAAAATATGTACTTTTACCAGACCACTTTGTGTTTTGTGAAATACTTGAAGGACGACCCCCCGGTCATTGCTGAAAATGAAACCAATGTTGAACTATGCACTGCGTACGAGGCTTGGGGGCAAGGTGATTACTGTAATACCCCATTTATTTATAAAATATTTGGGAATTATATAAATTATTATTGCTTTTATTATTATTATTATTATTATTATTATTATTATTATTATTATTATTATTATTATTATTATTATTATTATTATTATTATTATTATTATTATTATAATTATTTGTCTAATTGTCA